GTACTCCTACACACAACCACTAGAATGTCGCCCTCATTACACAACACACTGCGCGACTGGTTTCTGTACAAGAACAAAAACAAGTGAGTTTTGTTTTAACTGCTCAGCGCTGGGTGGTTCAAAGTCAACACTGCTGCGACGGTTTTGTGGTTTGTCACCTGCCGCAGGGCCGAAGACATCCTCTATCCACAACGCACCATTGAGGAAAACAGGGAGGTACAAGAAAGTGAGAAATTCTTTCATGTCGTTCAGAAATAAAAGATTGTTTTCTGTTCTTCCCCTCAGGAGGATAATGGCAGGATTATTTCCATGAGAGCGAAGGTGAGGGGAGTGCACTTTAATGTTGGCCCCTGGCAGCATCTGTCTAGTACTGTTTAAAGAAAGTGCTTGAGTAACTTTATAATATATTGTACTTAAAATATAAAATGATATTAAAAAAATAACATTTCTATATAAAATAAATAATAATAAAACCTAAACTATAATTACACACCAATATAATTTGGCTCTTAAAATGGAAAGATGTTATACCTGGCAGCTAAAAAAGTAGTTCAGCATTTTACTCTCCACCCAAGATTGTGATGACAATATTAATATCAGCCTCAATAAATATGACATTACAGCCAACAGCCAGCACCAAACAACACAAAGAGGTCTCAACCATCAAAACTGACTTTTGAAACTGGTTGTGGTTTTATCAGGGATTATGTAGGCGGATTTTGTCGCTTTCAGGCAGAGCCAGGCGAGCCGTTACCTCCTGTTTCCCAACTTCAAGCTAAGCTAACTGGCTGCAGCTTCATATTTAACATACAGAGATGACAGTGGTTTAAATCTTCTCATCAAACTCTCAGTAAGATAACAAATAAGCAAATTGTTAGTAGCAGTGTTTCTTTAAAAAATACGCTAACACCTCTAAAAGCTCCTTAATAACATGTTAAATCTCAATTATTTGTTCGGTACACAAACAGAAACGTGTGTCTTTAACAGTCGTGTGCAGTGACTGAAGTAATCGCAGAGGTTAAATATAAATATTAAATATGTGGCATTATAGCTGCAGATACTGAACAGAAGTTCTTCGCAGGACAACCTGTAAATCCCCTGAAATCACAAATGGTGATTTTTACATTTCGGATTGTGTGCACAAAAAGATACTACCTGTTCTACAGTGAGCTTTAGAGCCATTGGGAGGTGTATTTACACGTTATACTAAACAGCCTAGCTGTAATTCCGCTGCCTCCAGTCTTTGTGCTAAGCTAAGCTAATCATATCCTGACTCCAGCTCTGTACCGAGCAAAGAGATTGATCAATCTTCTCATCTCGCTCTCCGAGAGAAAGAAAATAGATGTATTTACCCTAAAATGAAACAGTCCCTTTAAATAAATGATGTGTTCAAATTCCTTCGGGAAAAGATTTATTTAATAAAAACATTTGAACTGATGTACTGCACACACTCTTACTCTATTATCAGCAGGGTAATATTTTGCATGCCCATGCGTCTGTTGGCCGTTGAGAGGGCTCCAGACGATGAATAACACCAGTCTCGATGTAGTCAAGTATATTATACCTGAAGAGTGATACTGAGAGGACTTGTCTGCTGGTTAATTACAAGGCACACTGACACTCAGTGTCACGACGGGAGCCAGTGCCCACAGCCATTCAGGAGTATTACCTTTCAGGCCTTTGCCCTGAATGTGAACACACGCACCTGCACAGCATGTCGGTGAGCCGTACAAAGCCCACATAAGCCAGTTCAAAGGCGCCACGATGACGGGACTGCAGGAGCTGCTGACGGAAGTACAGGCCTACTCCCTCCACCTGTAACAGAGAGAGAGCCACAGAGGGAATCAGCAAGTGAACTGTAACAGGAGAAACACCGAACATGTGTGTTGGGTATGCATGACTTTAAAGGCTCCTGCTTTACCCTGCAGCAGAAATGGATGGGACCAGTTACAAGAGGGTCAACGACATAGCTGCAGTCAAAAAAGATTATGTGACACGCACGGCTGCACACCACCTGAACACTTTACCAGTGCATCAGCCTGCACTGGCTGAGCAATGAGGAAGCAGGGAGAACATGTAGAGAGACAGATTTTCCTGCACACCATCAGTATGATAGGTGAGACCAGTATGATACGTGTCAAAGTCAAAAATACCAAATTATCTCACAGGGTTGGATTGGCCTACTTTTTAAGAAAGAGCTGCTGCTCAGCGGAGGAGTATAAACACACTGAGCTGAGAACAAGTGAGAGGAAAACAGCTGTAGAGCCGGTGTATTTTCACATCTAACTGTGGTGAATTAAGGCTTTATTTCGACTAGTTTGACGACATGGTATACAGTTACAAGATGATTTGCAGAGGCTCTAACTGGGGAAGATGAGGACACAGCAGGGACAGGAGAGGAGAGGCATGAAGAGGGTAGAGGAGTGAGGGAGGTTGTGCATCAGAGAGCAGCGACAGCACGTAAAGTCAGAATATTTTCACATTTAACTGTTAGATGATTTGACACCATAGTTTGTGATTGCTGGAACATTGGAAAGACTAATAAAGACGGTTTGGTGAGTTTTATTTTGTTTCTATCGAGTTTGTGTGTTTTAAGATGAGTTGGCAAGGTCTTCGTTCGGCATAAAAATGAGAAACTTCAATTTAGAAGATGTTTACTGAGGAAAATATGTGTTGTTTTTTTTTCCTTTCTTGACGTTTGGTGAGTTTATTTCGTTTAATAAAACTATTAGAGCTTGTTTAATAATTAATTAATCATTTCTCACTAGTAGTAGTAAGGTGAGGGCGGTTGTGTCGGCTCTCCACCGCTGTCTGCTCTCACACTGACACACTGAGCTCTACAAAGTGGAGGAGAGGCGGACAGCGGAGAGAGTTAACAATGACTGCTCCGTGCCTGATCTTGATTGACTTTGTGGACGCAAAATCCACCACCAACCAACAACCAATAGTTTTAGTGAGAATTTGTCCACTGACACAATAAAAGTACAACAAGGCAGCACTAAGACCTAAATGAAACCACTCTTGTAGACTTTGTGCTTTGTGTGTTAGTGTGTGAATCATTTTGTTAAGCCAACCCATTACATCTAAATACATGCTATAAAAACCTGCGAATGACATAATTCCACTCACGTTAATCAAATGCTGAACTGCATTATATAATCCCACGTTAGCCTTTTCTCTATTTGGCAAGCAGAGCGAGGCTGTAACACTGGCTGCACTCTTGTTCCAGAGACACCACTTAGTTTTCAGCCAGTGAACATTGAGCATGTCAAGCGTGAGAGCGGCATGTCAGTAGCGTGACAAGTGTGTTCAAATAAGGATGCTGAGACATCCACATAATGGCCACTGTCAGTAAAACCATCCAGTTAGTAATAGTGTTAGCAGCATTATTCTAACTATACACATACACACAGATACACACAAGTGAGTGCTAAGGCAGTGTGTAAACTGGTGAGTGTGTTGCAGGTGAGGCGGCAGGGCGAGGCGGACGCAGAGCTCCAGTGCCCTGTCATTAAGGCTGTGGTATCACCGCCACCACAGAAGCAGCCAGGCCTCGACTCAGTCAGGGGTGGCATGGAGGGCACAGGGAGGGGTGGCAAGGCCCCGATGCAAAAAAACCCTGTGTGAAAAGGGGGAAAAAAATCCCAACAGCCCCTTAGGGGATGTAGGGTTAGACGCAACATCTAAACTAACACAGACGCAGACCCGCAGATGAACCAGGAGTACGCCAGTCACTGTAACCTTCAGACGTCACTGACGTCACTGCAGGGAGTTTAAAAAGGGGGAAAACAGCAGGGGAATGTGCTCAAACTGAAAAAGGAATGAATGAGAAATATGTGCAAAATTAACATATGACTAAAATAATAAATTTAACAAAAATGTAGGTTTGGGCAGCCTGTTTTTGGCCCCATGACTGGCCAATAAACTCAACTGACCCTGCAGACCTAAAGTGGACTAACTTAAACACCAAAGTACGGACTGAGTAAACCACAGCGGTACCAAGCCCAATGACTTATCACATTGGTGGCCAGAGTGGACTCCCAGGACAGGCCTGACCTCACCGGGGTAAAAATGGCAGCGACAGTCACTGTCAGATGGCCCGCGGCTGCCGGGGCCCAGACCGCTGCGGTGCTGAGCTGGGCCGAGCCGGGCCGTGGCTTCGCCTATTTAAAGCTTCTCTCCCGAAGGTTCCCGTCTGTGTAACTGTTTAAAAAGGGCCGAGCAAGCTTCCTGCGCGGGGCGGGGGAGAGTACGGAGGGGTACTTTATTTAGACGTCAACTTCCTGTTTGCAAACGTGCCCGTTTCCCAGAAAAACTTCCATGTGCGGAGAGAGAAGTTTCCCAAGTCTAATTACATGTATGGCTCAAATAGCCACCTTCTCCCCTGAGGCCGAGGGTTAGACAGCACTCTGATAATGTTTGTTGTTGTTGTTGCTGAAATATACAAGAACAGGAATTGTCAAGTTC